ATTACATGAGTTGGGATAATTATGTTCGAAATTATTTTGTCACTTCTTGGTATTACTTTCAATGCATGCGCTTATAAATATTGTGTAACAGTCAACATATCATCGTATAAAATATATACGGGTGTTACGACAAAATCAAAACACCAACAGCAAAAAACAGACAAAATTATTAAAATGTGTTATCATCCCAAAATTTCATGTTACGAAGAAGTATTCTTAATTTTATTAATAAATTTATATTCCATTATTGTATGACAATATATGGGAATAGTTGACGATATATAGGGTACTTACCAGATTGTATATAAACCCATTATATCACAAGACAGTGTGAGGCGGTGCTGGGGTGCGGGGCGGGGTTTTAAATAGATAATTAATCTACTTTTAAGATAAAATATAATATTGTATTAAAGTGAGTAGGATTCGACTTTCAAATACAGTGTTAGTTTTGTGATTTAAGTGTAAACCATGGTCTTGCAGTGGTACTCGTTTGAAATCGTCAACTTTATCATTACACCTGTAAATATTAAATTTCTACACTTGATTTTTCACAACATTTTTGTTTTTGGTTTGAACACGTTATCTTTTATAATTATTGTGTTTAACAAACAATATATCTACCTCGAAACATTATTCTTGTTTCATATTACATAAATGTAATGTTACCTATATCTTTTAATATGTGTAGTTTGTCTTTATGAGTTATTATTTTTATACAGATATAATGCATTCTGTCACAAATGCTTTGTTTGTGGGTGTTTTAAAAGTTTAATTTACTGTAATGTAATTTGGGCTGATACAATTAAATGAGCCGCGTCACTACAAAACTCACATAATGGGTTTGCGACCAGCATGGATCCAGACCAGCCTGCGCATCTGCGCAGTCTGATCAGGATCCATGCTGGTCGCTATCAGTTTCTCTACTTGTAATAGAGTTAGTAAGCGAACAGCATGGATCCTGATCAGACTGCACGGATGCACAGGCTGGTCTGAATCCATGCTGGTCGCAAACGCACTATGTTGGTTTTGTCGTGATGCGGCTCATATATTGTCCTATGAGTATTCGTGTTAATTTAAGGTTATAGTTGTAAATGGTTTGTGGACTGCGTCACTGTAACATCAAAATTGGCATGGCAGTGTTGAAAAAGGCATAACGATAAAGTAGTACGATTTTTGCAGTAAATAATTTATTAATTTAATTTATCTATTAATTTACTGTATGGAAACAAAATATTTACAGAGCATGAATTTTTTAAGATTAGACATAGACGGTAAATATAAACGATATTAATTGATATTTTTGATTGTAAACTGGAAAAACATGAAATTTATTAAATCTTATGAGAACTAGAAAGGAATTTGTTTATAAAAAAGAACAGATAAGAAACAGTTTAAAGCGGTTTAAACATGTGTTTTTTTTCTATCCCACAATAATAATTGGTATATTTACGAAATGCGCATTTTGCTAGACTAATAAAATTATTTGACGTAGTTATACTTTTATTGACAGTTAAACCAGATAATTGGCAGGGCACAATGTTTGCATTTGTTGACTAGAAATGTATTTATAGCTATGTACAATGTACACCATGTATCTTTATTGTTTTAATTGACAAAAATATGTATACATTTACAAAAAATAAAAAAAATAATTGATTGAACGTAAGTCTTGTTTTACTTGCCTTTGATTCTTTTGCTGCGTATGGATATGTGGTTTTCTTCAAGATTATATGGGCGATATTGTGCTCCTGACAAATACTTTAATTAATACTTAAGGAATTGATTTTAAGAGATCATTAACGGCCTTAATATTGTATGATTAAATACACCTTTACATGCATAGAAATCCCTTACAGACTGGATGATTAAATCGTCTGCCCGTGTTCAATAAATAGCCTTATACATTATTATAGTATAAAGGTAACACAATAAAACGAAACTATTGTATCGATATATTTTTTTAAACTTTTTGAACATATTATAGAAAAAGCGAATATTAAATTTATATATATGTCTTGTAAAAACGTTTAAATAGAAATACAAAGTATGTGATGACATAACATTATTAATAAAAATATGCATCAATTTCTTTATCTTAATTAATGCTGTTCATTGTTTTATTTGATACTAACAGAAAGTTATACACATTATCTGAATTTCTAGGAACAGCTTTAATTTCAAGGTCTTTTTCGTATAACAATATACAATTTGACTGACTCGCCTTTGTTTATGTTTTGAATAAAATAGTGTGGATAAATCGTGGGTGAACGCTAGGCCTGAATTGAAAAGTCCCAGTTTTGTTTAGGCTATCGAAATATGTAGACTTACTGAAACATTGAAGTGAGGCATACATTATGGAGTACAAAACAGTTCTAAAAAATCCGGAGACCATAATTGAAATTGACAGAAATGTTAAAACGGTTAATGTTGAAATAAAAAAGAAGGATTTCAGAAGGTTTTGTAGCCATGAAAAAATGCGGAACTTTATGATAGGAGGTTTGACGATTTTAACGATGATTTCTCTCATTGCACAATTAGTGTCGCATTTACAAATAAACACTAACCAGAAGCAGTTAGAATTACACAAGGAGAAGATAAAAGACCTGATAATTGCATATGAAATTCAAATGCAACAAATCAAGGGAAGTGACTTTGACAGATCTGTAAAGGTAAACTGAACAGGTTCTTGTAGATTAGTTAAAAAACGAAATATTTGCGTTGTTTTGTAAAGCAGAAGACAAATGGGGAAATGTAGAAATTGACTTTGTAATGCAATTTTGTTGTTGTTTTTTTTCCATGTTATTTTGATCGAGCTATTGCAATAAAATATATCCATGCAGAAGAATTATATAAGCTAATTAGGATTTTATTTAAGGTAATAAAATATTATCTATGTACAATATTATGTTTTTTACTTTGTTTAAGGAATATTGTAAGATAAATATTTGCCTCTTTTCACTCATAAAAAACATCAAATTTTGTTTCTGTTCTATGTAAATAGTTTTGTTGTCGTTACTGGCACGAGAAATGTTTACAAAAATACAGGTTCAGAACATTGCCTACAGTGTCATAGTATTTGATCTTTTAAAAGAGAAAAAAAGATCATGTTTATGTTCTCCTTTGATGGAAGAACGTGCATTATTCTTTGTTTCGTAACATCTTGCATTTATTGTAGAACAGTATTTTATTAATTTGCGTTCCAGTTTTTCTTACTTTAAATAATATACTGTAGTTTGACACATATTTTTTATTCTCAATTTTTGTTACTATGCAAAATATAATGGTTATCTCATATTAGAACTATAATTTGACAATCAAAGGCATGGACTTGTATAAATGACACTACTTTAATTAGTTCATACACATATATATATTATGGACTCTATTTGTTTATTTTCGTCACTAATGCGAACCACTGACATGAACCATATAAATATGTTTATGCCATATATACCTATACAATATGAGTTATAATTAAATGTACATTGATATATTTTTATATATATTGCACAAATGATAAAAAAGACGATTTAAATTGGCGTGACCTATAATAAGTTCAAGATTGAATTTCTCGTCGTCATAATATGACATTTAAACCCCGGTCTAATTTTTAAAGAAAATAGTCCTCTATGGCAGTGTGTTCATGAATGCGTGCCAGTGTGCACATCTGCGTGTGCCGGCATGTGCGTGCGTTTGTATCTGCATGCGCGTGCATGTGTATGTATGTATGAGGGGTTATCCAAAAATTCGTGGAGTTTTTTTGAATATCTCTTAAAGGTCAACGTGTATTGTAATGACATTTTATCAGCATACCTTGTAGAATATTAACAACATATTTTGAAAGGAACAGTTAACTGCAACAATAGATAATGATTTTATATGGCTTTTAAATAAGCACATACACAGCACCCGGCGCACGGTAGAAAAGCGCAGTTAGTCACCGTATTTTTTTGCTAAAACAATTAACTAATGTAGAAAACCCGCTAAACATCGCATATTTCTTCCATGAAATACATGGTTTGTTATAGTAGTATGCTGGGTTTTGAATCTTTGTAAAGTCAAATCACCTATATACATATTAAGTATTATTGAGTCATATTAACCAAAACGGCAATGGGACATTTTGAGACATTTAACGAACAATTTTGAATAAAATGAAGTACCTATATTCTTATTAGAAATGATTGTATTTTTAACTTTGTTTTTGAGATACATCGCTTTGAATAAGCAAAACACTTAATTGAGCATGTAGTGAAGAATCATCTAGAAATATTTTTTTTAGAAATTATTTTTTTCTAACTGTTACAAAGATTTTTTACAGTGAAATTTAAGCATAATTTTTATATTTGTAAGTTATTTTTTAAACTGTGTAAGAATACATGAATATGCATTATTAAAGTGAGGAAAGATACCTTTGATTTTGTCAATTTATAATAATAATTATAATAATAATAATAAAAATAAAAATAATGATAATAATAATAATTATGATAATGATATTAATGATAATAATGATAATAATAAAAATAATAATAATAATGATAAAAGATAATGAAAACAATAAATAACAAAACATTGCATTATTATTATTTATATTATTAATGTTAATAATATTGATAATTATAAATAAATAAATAAATGATAATAATAAAAATAATAGTAATAGTAATAATAATAAAATAATAATAAATAACGATAATATAATAATAATAATAATTATAATAATTATAATAATAATAATAATAATAATAATAATAAAATGATAATAAATAATGATAATAATATAATAATTATAAAAAAAACAATAATACTTATAATAATAATATAATAATAATAATAATAATAATTATTATTATTATTATAATAATTATAATGAAAAGTAACAATAATATTAAAGAATGATGAAAATGAAAAAAAAAAAGAAAAAAGAAAATCAATCTACTTTTATTTATTACAGGTAAGAACTGAACATGCTGTATTTTTGTTTGTTTTATTTTCAGGTAGACAGAACGGGGGTTCGAAAGGGGCGAACAGGTAGGTTTTATGTTGTATTTAGAATTTTAAAAATATTGTTGCTAAAGTTGTTATTTTATATTTCGAAGCAATAAGCATATTCGTAACATCTACATCTTGAAGGTCGGATACATGTACAATAATCCTTTACAACAGAAAACTTTATTATGCAAAATATATGACTTTAAACTTTATGTTAAATATTCAAAAACATATGAGCCGCGTCACGACAAAACCAACATAGTTGGTTTGCGACCAGCATGGATCCAGACCAGCCTGCGCATCCTTACAAACCCTATTACAAGAAAGGAAACTGATAACGAACAGCATGGATCCTGATCAGACTGCGCGGATGCGCAGGCTGGTCTGGATCCATGCTGGTCGCAAACCCATTAAGTTGGTTTTGTCGTGACGCGGCTCATATTAATTTGGACTGACGAGATATGCGATATATTTATATTTAAAATAAATATTAATCAACAGATACTAAAGTGACTGCAGATATTTTTTAAGGGTTCTTGTGTAACGAAGTAATTTAACCCCATTTTTATATCACCAAGTCATAGTACTGTAGAAAAAATAGTTCCCTTTCCTCAACATATCGGCTTCAGTAAAGACGCAATAAGCGTCCAGCCTCCGAGAAACTTGTAACATATTTTCGATGTTTAGTATTCGATTTGGTGTTCAGTATTCGATTGGGAGGAAAGACCCCTTTTTCATTTTACTGACTTGAATTAAAAGAAATTGAGTCCCCTCCGCTGCAAAGTAGTGAAACCTCTAATTTTTTAACGACAAATTATGCTTCTGTTGAACTTTATCTTAACATAGTTTTTTCATTCTGACGCTTCGAAATTTGTGAAGTTAGCAGCCTAGCAGGATAGTACAAACATGAAAACCGTCGGAAATGAATCGGTAGCACATACTAAGTCCATTCCACGTCTTATTTCAGTATCGCGTACTTTATTTTTTTTTTAAATATTGAACTTTGTTTTTTTGTGTTTTTTTTGACACTTCGAAATTTGTGAAGTTAGCAGCCTAGCAGATACTTATTTTCCGAACAAAGTAACGTTGAATATGACTAATAAATGCAACAGAAGCAAACGATGGCTCCGGTAAATGGTCAACAAGACTACAGTACATTTAAGAGAAACTATACCGGGAAACCCAAAAAATAAGAAAGGTTTTAAAAAATAAAAATAAACCGCTTTTCTGAAGCTTCGTGGGCCTTTAAATAAAATGGGTCATGTATTAATAATAATTTCAACTGTTGCCATCAATTTCGTCGCTTTGCCAGTGTATATGGTAAAAAATATTGACTGTATGAAAACCTATATGAAGACATTGTGTGCTTTTTTTAAACATGTCTCAAAACACAATTAAAACAAATGAGGACAAAATATTATAAGCTTTTTCCTTAAGCCTAAAATAAAAGAAATGCAGACTTTAAAGTTAGTCATGATTCGAAATTTTGCAAACTTACGACACTTCTGATATTTTCATGTGTGCACCGGGAGGAAATGGCACAGTTGTGATAAACCTTTAAACATTAAAGATATAAAATACATAGTTTCTAAGTCAGTGATAAAAATATATTTCCATTTATCTAAGCCAAAAAATATAAATAAATAAATAAATTAATTAATTAATTCATTCGCAACCAGTGCAGCTTTTACCTTAAATAAAGTTTCAAAATAGACATAGTTTACTCGTGCGCCACATATATAAAAAGGCTAATTTATACTTTTAAGAGCTTGGAGCTTGGCCTTACGATAGTTGCTATATATGGGCAGGTTTTTTTGAGGTTTTTTTTGGAGTTTTTTTTAGTTTTTTGTTAGTTTATTATTTTTTTTTTTGAGAATTAAGAACAGCAAGGGAAAGCAACATTCATTATGCATAAGCTCATGAAGTCATGGTAGGGGGCAGTTTTTTTTATCAAGACGAACTCGTTTATTGTATGGTTGTTTAAGTCCGCTGATATTACCTTGGCCAAGTTGTGAGCTTTTTTGATGTTCAGTCAAATTCTTAAGTCCACATAGGGTCATTTCTTAAAATTTCATGAACTGCCATGCTTTTAACTAGAATTTTTGTAAAAGTGACCATTCGTAATCTACATCTCTAAATCTTAATCTCCTGATTGTATCGGGTCAGCTACACACGACTGTAAAAAAAATGTGGCTGATTCTTCAACCATGTGTCCAAAACTTGAATTTGACTTAAATATCATGTCTCTTACATTATTTCAGTGACGCTTAAATAAATAGAAAACAAAATTGTTTGAAAATATCAAAAGAAAAAAAAAACACACACCCCAACAAAGAAACAACAACAAAAACAACAAACAAACAAACAACCAAAAAAACACACACACCACCACCAAACAGCAATGAAACAAACAGACACATGCAAAAGATAAAATACTAACCCCGGATATCATTTTATGGAGGTCGAACGGTGGTACTAATATTATGAAAAGGAAGTCAATATTCTTTGAAATATAACGACAAAGCGTTATTATAATATTGTATGTCTTAAAGTACTTCTTAAACAAGAGCACTGTTTAAAGGGAGATAAATTGTAATATTATATCATTGATAGTTTTAGGTATTTAACTCCCTTAGATTTTATGAACACGTATATTTATTTTGTTTATACAAAAATGTCATATTCAGTACTGCGGTATTGTCCAACAACATTAACCTGGCACTCTTGCATTTGACCCCATATTCGGTAAATTCCGTAAACGTTACTTTCTATTTGTAAATCGATATGAATGTATATAACCAGTTGTTAAATGGTCTAAATTACAAATCCCTCTTAGAACACATAGGAACTCGAGAACGGGACCGCAGATTGCGGCGCATATTTTTCGATCGTGTAACGGTTTTTAAGAACGTTTCTGCTACAGCTAAATATCTTTAAGTATTATCCGAGGATATGGCCTCAAACAATATATCATCACTTGAACCCAATCTGTAACTTTTAAAACTGGTCAAATTTTACGGTTTTTTTCAATATACCGTAAACTTGACTGATTTTTAAATTAGCAGATTATATTAAATAAAGATAAGATAATTAAAGACCATCCGCTCGTATAATATAAAAAGATATTCAACGGTCGGACAAACAATATGTAAAGCTGGTACGGATTCGGATTTATGCGCCGCAATATGCGGTCCTGTTCCAGAGTTCCTATTTTAGCACAGTCGTTAAGGGCTTTCACTTCAATAATATAGACGTACATTCGTAGGTTCGAATCCTGGTTCAGCAACTTTTATATTTTTTCTTTTCTTATTTCAAACTTGTCATTTCTCTCTTAACTCGTGCAAAACGTTTTGATTTTTGGTTGTGTATTCTATCTGTGTAGCATTTTAATTTGTATTATGAACGTGCTGTCCTTTTATTAATCAAAGATAATGTAAGGAATAAAAAATAAAATTGTATTAAAAAAACCAGTACTTAAAAGGTATCCTAAAAACCAGATGTAGTAAAATGATTTCAAATTAATTCTTGCAAGTAAATTTCAAAATGAAATAAAAAAAAATGCATGTCCTCATAACGTGGTGTTGGTAAGGTATCGAACCAGGGAACTTCAGATCAGTAGTCAGGCATCTATACCAATACACCATAACTCATTGACGTGTGAAGTTAACAAAGATAACGATATATTCGTTAGATACTAGTACCACTGTTTATCACCTGACTGACCTTTACGGAAATTAATGAAGTGCCAGGTCAATATTGTTGGACAATAACAAGAATAAATATTCAGGTCCTGTGTTCACTAAGAAAAAGTCAGTATCAAAATAAAAAGATCCTGATTTTAAAAATTATCGAACCAAAATAAGGATCAATTTTAGGATCAAGATAAATATTTGGATCAACTGTAAAATGCCCATATTTGAAAAAATATTTAAAATTTCATGAATATGTTTTTTCAAGTTCAGTTTTATCAAGTTAATATTAACTATTTAATCTACGATGATACACAAAGGAGAATATTTGAATATCAAATTTTGATCCTGATCCTGAAATCTTTGTGAACACGGGGCTAGATTATTCTTATGTTAGTCATAATTTACGCTACACTAAAAATTTTATAATAAGTTAAATTGTAGTTCATAGTCGGATACCACGGTTTATCAACATGTAGCATCACATGTAAAAAATGATAAATGTAAATAGCTCGGCTGTGGGTATCCGAGGATGATTGTAATTGAGTGATTGATTCATTTTATTATTTCCAACTCAATATGTACCTAATTTCATTACAGTTTCCCAGCACACTCCTCATTTTTATCTCAAAGGCCAGGGCAGACGAGGACGGGCAACAGGTAGATTAACTTATTTTACTACAATTCTTTTATTGCCGACCCTGACTATTACAAAAATTCATAAGTATTGTGAGGTTACTTTTTAAATAACAACAATATTGTTGATGTTCTTGATATTCACCAAACGAATTAAAGACATCTTTGCAGAAATATATTTAATCTAGAAAATTATTCCTTAGTATGTCAAATTTAAATAAGTGAATGTATAAACAGTGTTTGGGAAATTGCATTCTGAAATAGGTTGGTCTATTCTTAAAATGCTGCCCTTTTTAAATAACACTACCTGTAGTGCGTAAAGTTTAAAAATTTATATGAGCCGTGTCATGACAAAACCAACATAATGGGTTTGCGACCAGCAAGAATCCAGACCAGCTTGCGCATCCGCGCAGTCTGATCAAGATCCATGCTGTTCGCGTACAAACCCTTTAACAAGTAGAGAAACTGATAGCAAACACCATAGATCCTGATCAGACTGGTCTGGATCCATGCTGGTCGCAAACCCATTATGATGGTTTTATCGTGACGCGGCTCATATATTGTCTCTATGTGTATTCAAAAGATTTTACATTTTAAAAGAGACTGTATAGTAATTGTCAGGTATTGTTTTTTTTTTTTTTGTTTTTTTTTGCCCAATATCAAATTTGAACATTAATCTATCTTTAAGTCACTGATGTCATTAATAACATTCAGCAAAGAGTGTTTTAGTAATCAGGGTCTTTCAATTCTGTTTGAAAGACCCTGTAGTATTCAATGGAAAATACACAAACATGCAACAACAAATGGATGTTGCTACGAAATTTCCCATGCTTAAAACTTATTTTTATTATGTCAAATACTGATACCAGCATAAGTTTTTTTACACGGGTCTCTGGATTACCGACCCAGTATGCTAACCACTACACCACAGTGGCCGTTGCGTTCTATTCATGCTAACTGATCTTATATACTTAAGCCATTTTTAACTTCATTGTGATGTTATAACTTTTAATACCATAGCAAAAGTAGACGCAATTTATTAAATACTACATTTTACCCTCAGAGAGTGGAATTTTTATTTGGAAACGTCCTGCATACAGACGCTTTGATGATGCTGACGATTTCTCTCAATCAGACAGTAACCACGCCGACGGATCCTTCAAAAAAGTCAGAATTCACCGTACTGGCGTGTACTATGTGTTTGCAAAAGTGACCGCTAATGGTAGATCACGACTAAGGTAATGTAATTAATTAGTCTTTCGATCCTATTTCTTCCTAATTAAACGGAACAGTATGCCTCAGGAACGAATAAATGTTTTCCTTTTATAGTAACGACAAACATACCTTTTATGAGGTTTGAATTAACAGTTTTTGAGCATTCTCTATGTAGATGCTGATCATCTATATATGAGCCGTGTCATGACAAAACCAACATAATGGGTTTGCGACCAACATGGATCCAGACCAGCCTGCGCATCCGCGCAGTCTGATTAGGATCCATGCTGTTCGCTTACATACTCTATAACAAGTAGAGAAACTGATAGCGAACAGCATGGATCCTGATCAGACTGCGCGGATGCGCAGGCTGGTCTGGATCCATGCTTGTCGCAAACCCATTATGTTGGTTTTGTCGTGACACGGCTCATTTCATAAAACAGAAGATGATCAATTATGAAAACGCTAATCGACAATTGAAATATCATTTAATATGTTTGGACACAATTAATCTTTAAATGTCCAGTTTTAAAGGAGCGACTGTGTTTTATGAAATCAGTTTCAATTTGACCGTATTAATCGTGACACCTTACAATTCTTGAATGATCAAGATGACCACAGGATAGCTTGCAGTCAATATCAGTTACAATGTCATAAATCATTAAATTTGCCTTAAACAAACGTTTGCTGGCAATCGGAACATTCGGATAATAGCATATCCGAAGTTTGGCGGAAATGAGCGAGATTGTGCGATTGGCTTGCTCGGACACCTATAAGGGTAATGTCATGTATATAATTGTTTTTACTTCTCAATTTATCGCTCAGTATGTTTTGTTTCTTATTGTTTTAGCTCCAGTGACCAGCCTCCAATGGGAATCGTTTTAAAGAAAGAAGGAATAGGTGGACCCGAAGATCTTGATTTCTCCTGGGTTACACAAGATGAAAAGTATACATGAAATATTTGAAAATATTGACAAACAAGTTTATATAATTACTCATTACGTCTAGAAAGTTACAAATATTCTTTCGTAGAATCTGATTTCTTAGACCAAAAAGAACATTTTATCTCCTTATACCGAATTCGATTGAACGTAAAAGTCTTAGTCTTGCGTTTTTATTTGTTTGGGTCGTCAGACCAAACAAATAATGGTAGCGAAATTTCAGAGCCTGATGTTCTTATTTGCAAATGCCGAAAGTAGTCCAAACTCCTCGAAGCGGTTACTTCCCTTCATATGTACATCGACGCCGAAAAATTAAGGGGAGATCACTGCGTAAAGATTGTCAAATGACAGGCGCATTAATTTTCGTAACGAAAAAATAGTTCCCGATTGGTCGAAGATTTCTTATATTGTGTTATTCTTATAGATATACATGCTAATATTCAGCCACATGATTATTTACTTCAGTGTTAAACACACAAAATATATCGAAATTAATGAGGGTTACAAACTCTAATTTAGAATAATATGGTATTCTTCAGGCAGTTATCTTATAACTCCCCGTGGTCGAGGGGTTTACACTCTCGCTTTGGAAGCGAGAGATCTGGAGTTCAAATCCCAGTAAAGGCTTATCATGTGGGCTTTTTTATTGTTTAATTGTTTAAGCCAAATAAACATTGAATTGAATATCAGTGTTGCAATAAGTCTTATAGCCAATTCACTATAGTTATAAAACAGCATTGGTGACACTTAACAAACAAATTGGTTTATAATCTCACAACCTTCACCTTTCTGACATTCTGAGACCCAAACAAATTCAGCGCCTTCTGTGCTTTGATTTCTTGCGGCATCATTTTGCTACCTACACGTTACATTGAGGTTGAACGCCACTAAGTACTCATATTTAATGCATTTGCATCATCTTTTTTTTTTGAGTGACACTAAAACAAAATGTTGTTGCATCACGCTAAATACCGTCTTCCGGTATATACCGGATAAGACGCTAAAATCCCCCCCTTTCACCCGCCGAAATGCAATTTAAGAAGTCTAATTCATCTCTTCATGCCGATTTATATACGATCAAGGATGAATCGGTGAAAAAATGAGATTTTTTTCTGCTTTGTGAATATGATTTCTGCAAGCGTCTAAAGGTACTGCTTCACACTAGTGAGTTAAATTGTCTTTTTTTTCAGGGGACAAGATTACGGTATGGCCGCTCACACATCGGAAGACGCGAACTATCCTATAGATACCTTAGAGATATCAGGACTATTTACACTAAGTGAAAATGACCAAATTTATATACAGGTGCCAGCAGAAACGATTAACTCAAGACATGACCGCTTTTTGAGCGGGGAAGTGAGATCGCGCTTTGGGGCTTTTCTCGTTGAAGCAAGCTCATTTGGCTGATAAGGAACTGACTTCTTCAAAAAGTAAAATAAGATCATTGACGTGTCGTAGCTGACAATGGATCATAATTATTAACTTTTAGATATGATTAGATTTCTTTTTTCTAAGATAACTCACAATATAGTTGTATGAAAAGCAAGCACAAAGATGTTCCTGTTTGGAATCACATAAGTTATTTTGAATAGATATGTTTATGAGATTGTATACGTACATAAACATGACTTAAACAATTAAGCCGAGGTATACGACGGCAAAACATAACAACATACTGTACTTTAAAATGAAAATGAAAATTCCTTTAAGTTCACCAAAATGTTGAAATTTTGTCCGGCATTTAGCCGAATTTTTGTTATACTTAAACCGAAGTTCGAACAGGGACATGTATAAGCTATTTATAAGCCATATATGTGTATATGTATTGAGAGAAACATATAAAAAGGTTGAATGAAGATACAGATAGGAGAAATTCTTATCAACAAGCTGAGTAATGTAAGATTTTTTTGAATGAATATCGTATACAGTTTGGCATATACTAGTTGTAAAAATAGTTGTTGTAAATATCATTTGATTTTAACAGTGATGTTGGAAGGGAGGTAATCCATCATTAGATATATAACCTGTTATTTTATGTTATAATGATATGTTAGTGTTAAAGTGGATTGGTATGATATGATGCACATATCTTTTCATAAGTATTTCAAATATTGATAAAAAACAGTAGAAATATATCATTTTGATATTCTTATGAAATATGACTGGAAAAACAAATGTTGGTAGAGTTCTAAAATGATTTATTATGAACATCTATATGATGAATAATACTATTTTGTTTTAGAACACTTTTTTATCTGCTTTATATTTGAGCCGCGTCACGACAAAACCAACATAATGGGTTTGCGACCAGCATGGATCCAGACCAGCCTGCGCATCCGCGCAGTCTGATCAGGATCCATGCTGTTCGCTATCCGTTTCTGTACTTGTTATAGGGTTTGTAATCGAACAGCATGGGTCCTGATCAGACTGCGCGGGTGAGTAGACTGGTCTGGGTCCATGCTGGTCGAAAACCCATTATATTGGTTTTGTCATGGCGCGGCTCAATTATATGTCATATCGGATTATGTCTCAAACATTTACCAACATCTATATGAAATTCTTTTTTGATTTCACGTATGAAACTGAATACTATCAACATAATTATTACAGACCAATTCACTGTTTGAATGTTGTTCAAAATATCTTCTTTTGTTGTCATGACTGATATAGGGCGTTAACTGTGCATATTTTTTTCATATGTAAATAAACATATCTTGTTGTATATGTGATTGTTATATGTATGTACTCTAGTTACAATATCAAAATTCAATGCAATGTTGTTAAATATTTGAAGTATTTTTTACACGAATTATAACTAGATTGAAATGTACAAGCATCGAGATAAGTTAAACAAATGCTTAACAAATATTCTTTTTTATATTCATAATCCTATCTTGTTATTCACGAAGTATGGACTAATGTTACATATTTTAACTTACAAGTATTATTCTCACATAGAAGTCACATGACCGTGATATGCCATTCACATTTAAAGACGTCTTTCTCAAGAAATTAGTGATGATATGAAATTAGTGATATTGACTAAATATATGATACAGTTTTGGGGTTTTCTCTTCTTTAACGTGACAGGTCATTTAATGCAATTTTACATACATCTATAAATATATCAATCTTGTATTGTTCATATCAGTCGATTGAGCCGCGCCATGACAAAGCCAACATAATGGGTTTGCGACCAGCATTGATCCAGACCAGCCTGCGCATCCGCGCAGTCTGATCAGGATCCATGCTGTTCGCTTAAATACTCTATAACAAATAGAGAAACTGATAGCAAACAGCATCGATTCTGATCAGACTGCGCAGGCTGGTTTGGATCCATGCTGGTTGCAAACCCATTATGGTGGTTTTGTCATGACGCGGCTCATATCAATCTTGTATTGTTCATAACAATTGGTTGATTACAAGTTTAACACTGTGATTTGCAATTGTCTCTTTGAAAAAATTCTATTGGTTCATACAAAGTCACGTGATTAGTTATAAGTCAAGTATCATTAATTAAATAAAGTTAATGACGATTTTTTTTCTTATTTGATATTTCACTGAAAAGTTTATTATGTATATTAATTTCAATAGATTGTTTCTTTGGCTTTCATATATTCAGAACTCTTTAAAATGACTTTCTTTTAATGGAAGATTTGTTGTTGTTGTTTTCCGTACCACCGATGACGGTTAGATACACCAGGATAAAGATTGATGTGTTGTTATTTTAACTGATCTGTTTTGTATATAAGTATAATTATAATAATAATTAGATATAAAGGCCCCAAGGAAGAAAAGTTTTTTTTAATACTTATTGGGTCACCTTTATAATCAGAGAGTGTTGTCTCCTTTTCTTCTTTTGTATACATATAGAATGTACTTAATTCAAATAAAATCTGGAATCAATTCTGTGTTGCTGTTGTTGTTTAAATATTTGGAAAATAAACGACCAAAAGGTATCTTTTAGTTCTGCAATTATCAAAAGATGGTCTACATATTTCAAAGTTTCTCATTGTGTCTGTTGCTTATATAGAATTTAAAAAAAACTCCACTGGGATCAAAAAGCCCCAAAACATAAAATTTCTTACTTAGATCTATTGACGAAACAGTTTAATAATTTATGTATATATATTTGTAAGAAACGTTTACAGTTGTCCTTTTAAGAGTTATTATCTGCCATGGTTTATGAATATTGTGTATTTAACAGTTCAAAAATGTAAAACATTTATTTGAATTTATTAAATTTTAATTAATTATGACAATCACTTTTTTCTGTGTTGTTGTATTTTTTTTAAATTTATTTAGTCGAATACGAGTAATATATTTTAACACTGTTGTGCTTTTCGGATAGCACAAATTAAGTTTTAATCATATTGAAGAAATGAACAAAGGAAGTTAACTTTCGTCATTTAGTTATTTATTCTCAGTATAGTATTTTAAGCCTTTTGTCAGTTTAGCATAAAGATAGTCTTCTGCTTTTTTATGTGTGATTTAACAACTCTAATGTTAATAATAATAATAATAATAATAATAATAATAATAATAATAATAATAATAATAATAATAATAAACTATAATAAACTATAGGAAAGGTAGTATTATGATCTTAAGCAGCACATCTCCAGATTAAGTCAAACTTTCATGACAATTTTGAAAAAAAAGAGTAAAATATTGAACGTACTTTACACATTCGCAAGCGGCACTTCCAATCCACGTAAGTCAATATATGCATAATAAGTCTTTACTGCGTTAGTCACGTAGTAGAAATATGCTGATAAATACTGTAAAATAAGTCACTCATTTCACGTAACATGTAAATCATTACTTTAAATATTTAAAAGAATGATATTACTTTTTTTAAATCTTAGAACATTTTCTTAGTTGATTTTCTTGAAAAAAAGGCTCATCTGGTGGCATGAATATCTATCGTTAGAACTAAAAGAAAAATAAATGTGTTTTTTCGCTTTTTATTACATATCACTTTGTTTGGGTTAAAGGTGAGATAAATTGGGTTGACTTTAGGTCAATATACATTTAGATTACTCTCCCTTAAGCCTTAATATTAAAAAAATATATCATCAGCGACTACACAATAATACTAAAATTAGTAAATTAAAGTAAACTAACTAAAATACCCACGTATTTGTTAAATAATTAACTTAACTTTAACTTCCTCATCAAATTCCTTCGCTACTTTACAAAATACTTGATACAGTTAATAATAAATATAACATCCGGTAAACACCTTATGAAACAACCACAAAAAGCGTCCTATTATGTCATGCATTTGATTAAAAGTTATTTTAATATTTTAATTAAATTTTGTCAAGGGATGATCTCAGCCTATCCCCTACGTTATATAACGATAGTTATTGCTTCTTGTGTATAAAGGAATGTACAAATATTAAAATTAGATCAAAGAGGATAGATATTGCCCGCTATCAGAAAGAATAACGGAAATTGTAAACAGAAGGGGGCTTAAGTAAAGCAATTTGTTTTCTGAAATAAGAATTTACGATATAGAAAAAAAATAAACATAAAAAAAATCACCACCAACAAAACGACTAACTTAAACGCACTAGACATTCATTAATTACTACACCAGTTTGACAATACAAAGCCGCACAACCTTATATCTTAAATGAACATGTCCATCTTTAAAATCTGGACAAAACCATTCATTGTCATAGGGTAAATCTAAACAAAAATGTACTAACTAAATGGCAAACGGTCGTGCCGACTGACTTTGGTTTGTTCTGATCTCAAGTGTAACATCAGTGACCACCATTAGGATAAAGGAGTTCGAAACTCAAGTGAGCCGCGTCACGACAAAACCAACATAGTGCGTTTGCGACCAGCATGGATCCAGACCAGCCTGCGCATCCACGCAGTCTGATCAGGATCCATGCTGTTCGCTTACCAATTCTATTACAAGTAGAGAAACTGATAGCGAACAGCATGGATCCTGATCAGACTGCGCGGAGGCGCAGACTGGTCTGGATCCATGCTGGTCGCAAACCCACTATGTTGATTTTGTCGTGACGCGGCTTAAATGTGTTCGAAGAATAATTGTTGGGTCAAAAGCTAAATTACGTAATATGCCAGTTTTATTTCAACAGCTATATTAAAGTTGTGTGTATACCAATGATTTACAATTAAATTATACAAAGTTGACGAATGTTCTCTTCTTCGTAACATTACATTTGAGTACAAATAAGTAACTGCGATTTAAACCGCTTTTTACCTTGTGATGAAAATGTGTCATGAATTATTCGTATACAAATACAAATATACATGCACAGTGTGTTAACTGGAGTGCAAATACATGTTCATGCATTAGTTACCCGTGCTCTCCCGTTACCGCACTGTCTGTCAAGTATAAAAGTAGAGAATGCTTGTTGATTGGCTCATTTTTTTATTTTAATTTTATTATTCTTATTTTATTTTAATTTTTTTTTTGGGGGGGGGGGGTGGTGAGAAATGGATAACGATAGTACAGTCAAATTCAAGTCTCGTGCATTGAGCACTTTTTTTCTAGGGTTTTATATTGTGACAAGGAACGTGTTTTTATTTTTGCCTATGATGAACAAGACTATGATGAACAAGACTATGTTCCCTCATACAAATCAGATAGCCTCCTGTTTCCAAACTCTAGTTATTATATAATTCGTCATTACATACTGTCGATACGCTCAAATAATTATGTTATGTTTGAGAATAAATCACCAGAAAAAAATACTTAAAAGGGGGAAACACGTTCAAAAGCATTGAGATTGAAATCGGTTGCATAAAATTCGAGTAATCTTCTACATGAACACTTGTGGCTGAGGGGTTGCCTTTAAGGGTTGAGGCATCAGACATGGATCCACCGTTCATAAGAGGCGACTAAATGGGTTCGCATTATTTGAGTCTATGGATCTCTTAGCTCCAACAGGTGAAGTGAGCCCTGTGTGTTCTTTAAGTTCTTTACACTCGAGTTTAGCCAAAATCATCTTTCCTGTTTCGGCGCCATATGACCTTAATTGTGTTTATGCACCGTAAAGCCAAAAAAGTCAGTCATTGTTTTTTTTTCTTCAGTAAATACATTCTCTTGAAAAACCGACTTAATACTATGGTAAATGGGATTGAATGTATCAGCAAATAAATTTTGACGTCAAGCTAACGTAACGCTAGTTTTACGTTAACGTTTGTTGAAGGTTAATTTGACATTGCAGTAAATCGTGACTTACTTATTTCGGTAGTTATTTTAATGTATACGACTGATTTGATTTATTCAAACAAAACGAAACCACAAAGTTTATTATTATAAACACACCTGTAACATGATAGTAAGTACGAGAAGGTGAAATACCTATTATTTCGTAAGAGATAAAAACAACTACTCTAGGAGGCAGACAGTCATAGAGAACGACCTCTCTAGGATGTAGTAAGAGGTAAAGAACGCCCACTCTAGGATGTAGTAAGAGGTAAAGAACGCCCACTCTAGGATGTAGTAAGAGGTAAATAACGACCACTTTAGGAGGCAGACAGTCATAAAGAACGCCCAGTCTAGGATGTAGTAAGAGGTAAAGAACGACCACTCTAGGATGTAGTAAGAGGTAAAGAACGACCAAGCTAGGAGGCAGACAGTCATAAAGAACGCCCACTCTAGGAGGTAGTAAGAGGTAAAGAACAACCACTTTAGGAGGCAGACAGTCATAAAAAACGCCCAGTCTAGGATGTAGTAAGAGGTAAAAGAACGACCACTCTAGGATGTAGTAAGAGGTAAAGAACGACCAAAGCTAGGAGGCAGACAGTCATAAAGAACGCCTACTCTAGGATGTAGTAAGAGGTAAAGAACGACCACTTTAGGAGGCAGACAGTCATAAAGAACGACCATTCTAGGATGTAGTAAGAGGTAAAGAACGACCACTCTAGGATGTAGTAAGAGGCAAAGAACGACCAAGCTAGGAGACAGACAGTCATAAAGAACGACCACTCTAGGATGTAGTAAGAGGTTAAGAACGACCATTCTAGGATGTAGTAAGAGGTAAAGAACGACCACTTTAGGATGTAGTAAGAGGTAAAGAACGACCAATCTAGGAGGCAGACAGTCATAAAGAACGCCCATTCTAGGATGTAGTAAGAGGTAAAGAACGACCACTCTAGGATGTAGTAAGAGGTTAAGAACGACCAATCTAGGATGTAGTAAGAGGTAAAGAACAACCACTCTAGGATGTAGTAAGAGGTTAAGAACGACCAATCTAGGATGTAAAAAGAGGTAAAGAACGACCACTCTAGGATGAAGTAAGAGGTTAATTAACGAACGACCACTCTATGATGTAGTAAGAGGTTAAGAACGACCACTCTAGGATGTAGTAAGTGGTAAAGAACGCCCACTCTAGGAGGCAGACAGTCATAAAGAACGCCCACTCTAGGATGTAGTAAGAGGTAAAGAACGACTACTCTAGGATGTAGTAAGAGGTAAAGAACGACCAATCTAGGATGTAGTAAGAGGTAAAGAACGATCACTCTAGGATGTAGTAAGCGGTAAAGAACGACCACTCTAGGGTATAGCAAGAGGTAAAGAACAACCACTCTAGGATGTAGTAAGAGGTTAAGAACGACCAATCTAGGATGTAGTAAGAGGTAAAGAACGACCACTCTAGGATGTAGTAAGAGGTTAAGAACGACCAATCTAGGATGTAGTAAGAGGTAAAGAACGCCCACTCTCTGATGTAGTAAGAGGTTTAGAACAAGCACTCTAGGATGTAGTGAGAGGTAAAGAACGACCACTCTAGGAGGCAGACAGTCATAAAGAACGCCCACTCTAGGATGTAGTAAGAGGTAAAGATCGACCACTCTAGGATGCAGTAAGAGGTTAAGAACGACCACTCTAGGATGAAGTAAAGAGGTAAAGAACGACCACTCTAGGAGGCAGACAGTCATAAAGAACGCCCACTCTAGGATGTAGTAAGAGGTAAAGAACGACCACTCGAGGATGTAGTAAGAGGTAAAGAACGACCACTCTAGGAGGCAGACAGTCATAAAGAACGCCCACTCTAGGATGTAGTAAGAGGTAAAGAACGACCACTCTAGGATGTAGTAAGTAGTTAAGAACGACCATTCTAGGATGTAGTAAGAGGTTAAGAACGACCACTCTAGGATGTAGTAAGAGGTAAAGAACGACCACTCTAGGAGGCAGACAGTCATAAAGAACGCCCACTCTTGGATGTAGTAAGAGGTTAAGAACGAACACTCTAGGATGTAGTAAGAGGTTAAGAACGACCACTCTAGGATGTAGTGAGAGGTTAAGAACGACCACTCCAGGATGTAGTAAAAGGTTAAGGACGACCAATCTAGGAGGTAGTAAGAGGTTAAGGACGACCAATCTAGGATGTAGTAAGAGGTTAAGAACGACCACTCTAGGATGTAGTAAGAGGTTAAGAACGACCACTCTAGGATGTAGTAAGAGGTTAAGGACGACCACTCTAGGATGTAGTAAAAGGTTAAAGACGACCACTCTAGGATGTAGTAAGAGGTTAAGGACGACCACTCTAGGAGGCAGAGAGAGGTTAAGAAATACCACTCTAGGATGTAGTAAAAGGTTAAAGACGACCACTCTAGGATGTAGTAAGAGGTTAAGGACGACCACTCTAGGATGTAGTAAGAGGTTAAGAAAGACCACTCTAGGATGTAGTAAGAGGTTAAGGACGACCAATCTAGGATGTAGTAAGAGGTTAAGAACGACCACTCTAGGAGGCAGTCAGTGATAAGAACGACCGCTTTGGGAGGAAGAAAGAGGTTATGAATGTCTACGCAAGGAGTAAGTTACTCTAGAGGTAGTACATGATAAGAAATGATCACTTTGGAAGGTAGTTAGTAATAAGGAACAACTACTTGAGGAGGTTGTAAGATGAAATGAATGACACACCTTATTAGGGAAAATAAACAAAGCATATGTTTCATTTAGATTTATTTGAAAAAATAAACAGAGAAAAAACTGTTTAATAGAACACATATACAAAAAACATATATCGAAAGACCTTTGGTACAGATTGCCTCATGTAAGACAAAATGTGCATATGTTGCATATATATATCACAAGTTTTTTAGATGAGTTCTTTGTGGGGAATAAATAAATAGAATTTTATTCCGTTCAACGCACAATCAAATTTTCACAATGTTATATATAAATACACTTAATGTCACGAAAAGTAAGTAATAGAAAGAGCATCGACACACGAGGCTATCTGATTTGTACGAGGGGGCGTAGCCCCCGAGTATTAATCAGATTGCCGAATGTTTTGATGCTCATTCTCTTTTGTATCATAGTCAAACATAATAACAAGTTCCCTGTGGTCTCAATATGAAACCCCAGAGAAAAAGTAACCAGTGAACGATCATCTAAATATGATATTTCTATCGCTTTCCCTTTCTCTGCCGTCACAATAAGTAATCCCCAGCAAAAATGAGCCAATCAATGGGCATGCTCTGGAGTGCGGTTCACTCCAGTTAACGCACTGTCGATTTAACTCTGACACATTTTTAACAGAAAGGTCCCCAAACTAGGATACAACTTTTCAAAACAACAGTTAATCTAATCAAATGGAAACTATTGTTGTCACACTCCAACAATTTTAAAAAATAATTTACTCTCCTCTCGCACACTTGCTACCTAACTTGATATAACGAAACTTTTCTGAAGCTTTGCAAGATGTTGTCTTGCAAATGGACTAAACTTTTTATTTTGTTCTTATTGTTTATTAATGGATATGAAAGCTCGAATATATAATTACATTAATCGAATAAATTCCTTGATATTAAGCCATATTCGTTGGTTTTGCAATAAGTCCATTTGATTAAATTGAGAAGTTATGAAAGAAAATATTCCAACTTTTTGAGTAACATGAAAACAACAACGACAGTAGCAAAAACTATGGAATGTTTATAATAAACAGTAAAATATGTTTACCATTCATATGCATAAATACAAGTTATTATATAATCACTTCATGGCACTTTATTCACTATTCGTTGAAGCAAATAAATCTTAGAGTAAATAAGTTAACGTTTTACAAAATAAATTACATAAATATCGTTGCTCAAAATAAATCACATTTTCTCCCCTATTTCTCCATTTTCGGACAAGGAGAATGGTTCACCGCCTAGTATTATTATTGCATCTTTATAGGACGGAGGAGGAGTTTGAATGTAGCTTAGGTCAGGTGACGTTGGCTCTGACCTTTGACCTGAGGAATAGATAAGATCAAACACTGATAAATGCATATTTGGAAATCGACTTCTCCAAGAAGTTCTACACCGATTGCCATTCGCAGATTGTGTGTTTTGTGAAGCGTCATCTTCGATAGCAGACGGATTAAGGTTAAACTGATAATCCGCCATGCTCACTAAGCTGCCTGAGCTAAGTCTTGAGTGCTGAAGTCTTAAATCTCCACTTGAGTCTGTTAATGATATTCCTACTGAGCTCACATTTGTTGACACGGAATCACCGTCTGTTGTATCCTCGCCGAAAAGAACCGAATACGAGGGAGGCAGATCGGATGATTCCGTTTGAACGGATTGTTCCGAATTACCAACAAGGCTTTGTCCTCGTGGATTCCGTCGATCTTTTATCAGACGCGCCACGTGCATTATGGCGACACAGAGGATCGGCACGATTACTGACAAGCCTGCAGCGACACCTATTACTCCGAGGTTTTCAGGGGCAGGTAACTCATTGGCATCTATAAAATACAAAATACACAAAAATAATGACTTACTTCATGCAAAATTTAATCTTCAACTATTAGTCATTGAATATATATCATGTACAAAATCAATATGTACATGTGTCTCCTTAAGTTTTTCAGAACAGAGAAACTTTCTTTTCATTTTTGAGACCGACACTGTCATAATTATGGCAACTTTTCAGTTTTCCGTGTGAAGGAAGACCTCATGTGCCCCTCTGTGCATTATTTAAGGCAGGTCAATCGAGTAAAACCACCGGCCTTTCTTAAGCTATCTGCACAGATTCTATCATTAAATAATTCAAAGTCCTTGGTGGGTTCGAGCCAAAATTGAGGACGGGCCAGTGGGTCGAAGTCAACTACCATAACCACTCGACCACAGAGCCCCCTTCATAGTGGTTTTATTCTACATACACAATTATAATACCATTTTTTTATCACATGACCAATGTTATAAACAGTGTGATTTGATTGGATAATTTCTAGCACAGATGTCAGTTTTAATATTATTTCTTTTTCCTTCAAATTTATATTCTTTAATATTGTCTAATTTTGACACTTCACATACGTAAAACTTTACAATTTGACGTTTTCATTAATTGAAATGAGAGAATGTTATGTTGAAATATTCAGAAAGAGGACAATAAAATTAATTAAATAATCCTTAAATGATGTATGTTTTTGCCGGCTCGCCACGGCGAGACGGTATTACGCTAGGATTTTACTTAGAAACAACCTAAAACTCCGAATCCATCCAAAAAATTAATCTAAGCTTGGCTTCCAGCTTTCTACAAAATTTATCTGTCACGGCTGGAATCCAAAATAATTAAGCCAATCAAATTTGATCTTACATAGCGTCAAAAAACCTTCAATTTTCACGCCATTTTTAAAAAGGAACAAGTATTGCTTTGAGCGCAAAGATGATAATGATGATAAAATATTTGTTTTCATGAATTCCTTTCAATAAATCATATTTACACTGACTTTTGATTTAGTGATTTCAACTGTTTTATCTGTAGTAAGTTAAATAATTAACAATTAATTGGTTAATTAACATAAGTGTACATCTGGTTCTGTGCATATTTTCTTTTTCTTTTTTTCCGGTAATTTTATCCTTTCCGGTATTTTGTGTATGTATTCATTGGGATATACTATTCTCCGGTCCGGTCGCTTCCGGTCTCTCCCGGATTTACGAGACTTGAGAACTTGTACAAATCAAATAATCATGCCCCATGAATCTAAATTCGCCCACACCAAGAGAGTTCTTCAGTAATATAGTCCTGTATAGAACGTGTGTCTGTCACTCATTCCAATACTAAATAATATATTACAACTTAACTTTGTATAAAGAGACATCTTTATGAATTCTACCTATCTAACATTTTTTAGTCAAGGTCAACAGGCCATATAGTAAATGTGCATAGACATAGGGACTTCATTCCATCTGTTTACATGCATCTTCATATATACTCATATTTCCCTTTGTTAAACTGAGAGAACTGGCTTCCGTAACTTTATATGTCACTTTTATTTTGATGTTCGCTGAAGTCTCTTCAGGTACAGAACTGTCATTTTTACATTTAAACACAACCCTAGAATGAAATTACGAAGCGAGTCGCTACTAGCTTTTTTAAAAGCTAACCTTGTTCTCAATTAAATCTAAGAAAATATCCAATTAACATATGTAAATGCGGTTTGATTCATTTGAATTCGTTTCCAAAAATAAATCTCGTGATTTCAAGCGCATTGAAAGGGTGATGTCATTTGATTGACGAACCTGTTTGATAAAGTGGAGTAATCATTTAAAGCATATTAATAAAATTGCATTCATGTGTACACTTATTTTTGTTTATATATTTAAATATATTTGTTTAATTTTTTTTGCATTTTTACTTGTTTTACAGTACACAGATAAGTCAAATTGAATGTTTGTGTATTTTATTATGTAACTTTAATTACCTACGTTGATAAAACCGAAACTAATAAGTTACGCCAGGAAAGTGAGGTGTACAAAAAAGTTTTTGTTTATAATTGTTAAACGCTTATTTATAATCATGAATCTTTACTTAATAATTTATGTAATAGCACACGATTCTTTGTCACCAATCTTCATTTTATAGGTTATAACACTCTCCTGTCTGCTTCCTCGGACAAACAAGTACATTTGAGCATCTTCGCGACAAAACCAACATAGTGCGTTTGCGACCAGCATGGATCCAGACCAGCCTGCGCATCCGCGTAGTCTGATCAGGACCCATGTTGTTCGCTATCAGTTTCTCTACATGTAATAGGGTTGGTAAGCGAACAGCATGGATCCTGATCAGACTGCGCGGATGCGCAGGCTGGTCTGAATCCATGCTGGTCGCAAACCCATTATGTTGGTTTTGCCATGGCACGGCTCATTTGAACCTGTGCTATGTTGAGGCTCCAGTAGGGCTCGAACCCACAATCTCTTTGCTTATAGACAGACATCTTAATACCAAGTCACCGCTCCCTAACTTTATTAATTGACTAGCTTGATACACCTATATCTAATATAATCGGTATACAAAACACTTACGCGACAGTTTTAAACTGATTTTTATGTCATAAATCTTTCACGCACCAGCTAGTGTTCTAATTAGTTTAAATGACATAATTTATTGTAAAACATTTTCTTACTTAAACATTCAAATCGTATTTCATAGTCTCGGCATGTAGAATTTTGTTGGTCCCCATTTCGACAGATTAGTCCGAACGTATTACACGGGACGAGCAGCCGGTCTCTGGAGTACCCCGTGGTTTCTACGTTAAACAAAATTGAAGGATCCTTCGCGTCTCTACAGAGTGCGTCTATAGGTGAATTACCGTTGCATATTTCATATCCTCTCTGTTGGAAAAAAAGGAGAAATATTTCAAACATTGTTATACTTATACTAGTAACATAAGTAAAATTATATAAGTAATTCACTATTTTGTTTTGATATCTCAGTATACGCTCTAACGTCTAGTCTTGTCATTAATTAAAATCTTAAAGGCACATCAATTATGCCTCAGAAACACACAATTTTTTACTTCTTTAGAAAGGGCAAACATCAACTTTTTAAAGTTTAAATAATGGTTTCATAGAATGTAAGATGTTTGTTATCTGAAGAATGTAGCGATAAATGTGAAATAATTTGTCACAAAAGTAGCAAAATGTAAATAATGTAGTGCTTTGACTTTAAACAATGTAGTGCTTTGACTTTCATTACAAGTACACCAAATTTGAAAAGCTTTTAAGAAATAAAATTAAAATCATTTCTAAGGCAAAATGGGCCCTTAAAGACATTGTCAGATATATTCTCAAAAGATATTACTTTCATCTGTAGACGAATTAATTGTTCGATTTTTTTTAAAGTTCATAATACATATTTAACAAATACACAAGAAGCAAAACAGAAAATGAGTCGTAATGGGGCTTTAAGCCAGTTTATCTAAACGTTTCGTGGTATATGGCAAGTAAGCATACAGGAAAAACTTCGGGCTATAAGTTCGTGCTCCATCCACAAGAGTGAAGAATCGAAGTTTTTTGTTCGATATTTTATTTGCAACAATTGTTTTAGGGTCGATACGAAATACAGAGTCACTTCAGCTACACTAATTTTCTAATCTTGTTGATATTTCCGAGACATATTTATTTCCTTATTATTTTCCTCTTACAATAAAAGTAAATATTTGACCGTAAGTTTACACATTCGATCATTCTGATTCGTTCAATGAACCCTGTTATCTTCTCAATAAATGCAGTAAAGGCTGATATTCCCTAAGTTATTGACCTTGTATAATAAAGGATAGTATATTCTGTATCTCTAATGTTCTCATAATGTAAAAAAAGATAACTTATTTGATAATAAAATTGATAAATATAGAAAACAAAACATTAAACAGAGAAAACAACGTTTTTACTATGTAAGCAGAGGATATTACGTTCGATAAAATGTATGATATTATATACGAAATGAATGTATAAATAAGTATAGGGCATTACAACGAAAAATAATACAAAACAGGTAGATACGTGCAGACAACTAAATAAACAGTATACAATTTGTTTTTACATTTCTCATGTTATACTGTTGATTAACAAAAAAAAAAAAGTTGTCAGTAGGACAGCGTGCTCGACTAATCGACTAAAACAAGAGCCTTGTTGAACGGTTAATGTAAAATTTTCTAAAGTCAAAAAGAGCTACTAGTATTATTTCGTCAAAATCCATGTTAAGTTATCGGCCTGGGACAGTGACCTCCTATAACGCTCTTAAATAGATGCGAGAAGTTTCAATTCAATCCCTTCAGCAGTTTTGGAGAGAACAACTTGCACTCAAAAACTTAACCAAAGTGACGACGACGCCGACATTGACGCCGGGATGATTTTCTTCGAATAGGCGAGCTAAAAACAAAATACAAGAAAAATTGTGAGGTACCTTTCTAATACTGACAACACTCTCGTCGTCGTCGGCAGATGTCGCCGGATCGTCGGTATTATACCAGCCTGTCCACATTCGTACATGTGAGGTGTCTATATCACTCCGATGATTATCTGAAGTTGACAAAAATATAAATTTATCTACATAATTCTCAAAACGAGTCATCCTCGAAGAAAGAAAGAAAGAGAAAGAAAGAAAGAAATAGAAAGAATGAGAAAGAAAGAAAGAAAGAAAGAAAGACAGAAAAAAAGAAAGAAAGAAAGAAAGGAAGGAAGGAAGGAAGGAAGGAAGGAAGGAAGAAAGAAAGAAAGAAAGAAAATAAGAAAGAAAGAAAGAAAATAAGAAAGAAAGAAAGAAAGAAAGAAAGAAAGAAACAAACAGAAAACAACACAATAACAAGTGCAAATCTATTTTTTAAGAAAGAAAACAAGGTTCTTAGAATGATTGATGGTATACACGCGGCATTATGAACATATAGTCATAGTATATTTTGTAATATTATTAAATAAAAGTGCCTATACATGTAAAATATTGCGAAATTATCTATTTCGGTGGGTTGTAGAAGCAGCTATCTAGGTTTAGATAGCGGTTTCTAGTTATATAGAGGTTTTTTTTTTTATAGTTTAATCACAAGAAGTCTTGAATTATTTAGAGTAAGAAGAAAAAAATATTAACATGAACTTGATATTTAACAACAACGACTATTTGTTCCTTCTTTCAAATGAGCTACACGTTTTTACTTAAATCAGACGGATATTAAGATAATATTATCATTCATATCTTCATGGTAGTAATTACCACTTATGATAATTTGTGAAATAATCAGAGTATGACATGAATGAAGTATACTAATCTTTCGAAAAAAACAATAACAAAAAAAAAGAAAAGAAAAACAACACCAACATGTTCTCCGGTTTCCTATTCTTTTTATAGCAAACTTGATCTCATTTGTCAGAAAAACCGGCTCAAAAAAGAAGAAATTTAAACAAAAACACACGACAGGTTCTCTAATTTTCTACTTGGTCCGTTTATCACAAAAAGTCCATTTATAAAAAAAACAAAAAAAACCCCAAAAAACATTGGATGATATATAATTAATCAATCGTAAATCTAACGCATGTACATATTCAATAAAATAAATTTAAATTTATAATTAAGTATCTTACATGTTTCACCCCATCCTGTTATAATAGCCATGATAGTTTTATTTCAATAAAAACTTCAATAGCGTCCTCTAAGTGAATAAGGAAATTACTCTATATGTGACAAGATTCAAACTTTATTAACAAAAAAAAACAAAACAAAAAACTTTATTAACAGCAGATATATCCTGTATCCTGGTTCTAATTAAATTACGAAATTAAAATAAATTAAATTCCGACGTTTGTCTTCGTGTTCTTGTAAAACAGGAAATTGAAAGTCGAAAACCTCCGCTTTAAAGGACAGTTTTACCAAAGGTCAAGGTCTTTGTGAAATAACAAACTTAAATGGAATCTGTGAGGAAATACGGGGCTTATCGGCAAATAAATAAACAAACAGGTCACACTAGTTCATTTTTAAGTGCGAATTTAAATTAGGTAACTATATCAAGGAAATCAGTTGAAAAAAAACCCGCGTCCGTGGGCTGATTGGTTGGACGTTATCTGGCAAAAATTCTATTGATGGAAATATTAGTGTATCTACAGGGAAATCTAACAGACGATAGCACTTCATATCGTCAATCCCATTGTTTAACTTATATAATAAAGGGGGATAACTAGGAGCACTGTGCAGAGTATCTATTAGAAAGTAATCAAAGCTTCCAATTTAAAGTCTAAAGTAAACTTATTGTTTTTACTTGTATTTTCAATGAAGATACTACACATGTGACGACCTGACATGACTCTATGTAACCGAGGTTATGAAAACTTTTAAGAATACACGAATATATACGCTACTATATATTTTTGTTTTGATGAAAAGCGCAAAATTTAACGCTATCGTGAAATATTTTCCCTTGCACTAGATTTAATAAATGATAAATATGAGACAAAGTTGTAAAATGTTTTGATGATGATTTGACGGTATGCATCAATAAATAAATGTTCAAAGATGTAAACAATGTTTCTGGTATGTAGAGCAAACGTATATCTATTTAACATTCATCTATAACATTTTTTTTTAGCAAAAATGTTTTTCAATATAAACAGCGTTCAGACACAAGCCATTAAATTTAGAAAGTAAACACCAATACATCATTTAATGAGAAAAAAACACAGACTTATTAGGTTTAATTTAGCGACCAACGCGACTTCAATATACAGATATATAAATTATATACCGCCCTACAGTATCTCTCTATATAACGATTATGAAATAACAATGATCTCATCAGTTATCACAATCATAACCATCATCATCAACATAACAAGCGTTAATTGTCATCGATAATCATTCGTCATCGATTATTATCATCGTCGGTATTGATAATCATGACTGTTGTCATTAATAATGATAATGCGTCGTCTGTATCGATAATCATGATCGGCTTATCGATAATCGTTCGTCATCGGTTATCATCATCGTCTGTATTGATAATCGTGACTGTTGTCATTAATAATCATCATCGTCTGTATCGATAATAATCATCGATTATGATCATTGTATATATCGATCATCGTCATCGATAATCATTGACATCATCGATAATCATTATCATCGATAACCATCATCGTCAATAACAATGATAATCATCGATAATAATTATCATCGATATTATCATCGTCGTCATAATCGATAATAATTATCATCGATATTATCATCGTCGTCGTCGTCATAATCGATAATCGTCATCATCGATAATCATCATCGTCATTATGATAATCATAATCATATAAATATCATAAACTTCAGCATTAATCAACATCAGTTAATTTGTTCTACTGGTATTTACATTAATAAGTAGTGTCGACATAACAAAAACATCATCATTAAAAGTAGTATGTGGGAGAGACCCACATACTACTATTAAACATTATATGTTGATATACAACACGGTTATTCAGTATGTGGTGAGAGACCCTTTAAACATGCACCCTTTCAAATAGTGACGGCTTAATGTGTATGGTTATAATAAGTAACTTTTTTTAAAGATTATAATACGTAATAAATATGGTTATTTAAAGAGGCACGTATCTCTCAATATTGAGATGAAATGAAACGTATTAGGATTTTTATTATATAAATATACTCTATATATTAATAAATCAGCCAAGTGGGTTTTTACATATAACATGGATATAAAATAAGAAAACCAACCTGCAATAACGTTATTCCAAATCATTGATACTAACACACAACACTGGCAATAAAAGTGAAGCACATGTTTCCTCATTTTGAATATTAGTCAACACTTTTCTTTATTATCACAGGTACTTCTTTCACGTACAGATTGTACCGTATAATGTAATCACTGCTCACGTCTACTATTATTAACTAGGATTACCCTGTATGTTAAGTCAGTTTATAAATGATCGGTTTTGATCTGATTTAGTGTCGTTAACCTTCTTTTCTATTGACTAATCGCGTCTTTTGTTATAGTAGGTATAGGTTACTGACCACTAAATATTTACCTAAAAAAAAAATAACACGAAAAATGTCCTCCGTAATCTGATACTGATTCTTCCTATCTGTTCTTTCTAAATAACAAAGAAAAAATAAAGAAGAGCATAAATTTTGTACTTTCTTTCTCGCGTGTGAAAATAAAAGTTCATTTAAACACGTTGATGTACTGTACTACGTTAAACTCTGCGGTTAAAAGATAATTCACAAAAGTAATGAATCATTCTCAAAATGTAAATAAAACCCACTTGATTAAAATACCGTGCTCGTTTTGATGTTCAAACGTTTAAATATTGTAAGTTCGAAACTATATTAGTCTACTTCTAATTTCACTATATTTCTTAAATGTAATATATTGAATTATTGAGTCACAACACTCGCAATAAAGGAGCGACAATGACATTTATCAAAATACTACTAACATACTAGGTTGTACTCTTTGTTTTGATTGAACGTAATTTGTGACGTAGGTAAAATTTCAACGTATAAGGATGTAAATAGATCTAAAATTTCTAAATTTAGAATACACCGTGCGTGAAAAGTTAGTTTTAAGTTAACTATATAATTGAAAACCATAGGTGAAGAATGTCATACGGCTGCGATGTTGATATTATAAATTACAATGTACGTGTATACATGTATATTATTATATAATAAGGGTATTTTATTTTAGCAGATTGGTGCCATGTCACACATTTGAGCCGTGTCATGTCAAAACCAACATAATGGGTTTGCGACCAGCATGGATCAAGACCAGCCTGCGCATCCGCGCTGTCTGATCAGGATCCATGCTGTTCGCTTATCAACTCTATTACAAGTGGAGAAACTGACAGCGAACAGCACGGATCCTGATCAGACTGAGCGGATGCGCAGGCTGGTCTGTATCCATGCTGGTCGCACTCCCACTATGTTGGTTTTGTCATGACACGGCTCAAATTTTCATCATAGCCGGAATAACGGTGTGCTATATGGGGAAAGTGCTGTGGGGATAGGGATGTGTACTGTTTAAAATGTTTGTTGTTTTGTTGCTGTACTTTGAAATTTGTCACTTTCTTTGAGCAATTTTGAAATTTGTGTTAATGTTTTCTTTTATAAAATTTTCTCATCTAATGTCTAGTCTATTATATGCCTAATGAATGAATAAAATCTGGAAAATTTTGACTGATTTCATGCGAAACTACGACGCATCTGTCGTATTATCGTATATTCGTTAGAAACGCAAAAATAAATAATATCATATACATAGCCTTAGCCTAGGTCATGAATTTATTTAATTTGTAGCTAGGCCATGAATTTATATAATCTATAGCTAGGATGAGTAAGTGTGAATGAAGTCTATGCTTCATGAGGGTCCATCCGCCCGTGAGATTACAAAGAGCAGCTTTCATTGTCGAGTCCGGACCCCGGACATGTCATTATGTAGATTTTATACTGTACTGATTCATCAACAAATTTTAAAGTACTACACTGATCGAGGTGTTTTGAAATGAGGCGACCGGAAATAATTTTTCAAAACTTATTATGTTCGATTTGATGTAGGTCTACAACAATAACTTGTGCCCAAAAATTTTGATCATTCACTTACTCCGTTTTTCGACACAAGTCATTTTAAATGTAAAAGAAGGACCAAATAATCACTCAAATCAGGCTAAGAATAGCGCAAATATACGATTATCAATAATCATTAATATTTTAGTATATTTCTTGATTATCTTTTGCAAATCGTAATGTTTTAAGTGCTCCAGGTGATCTATGTAAGAAATTCATAATTTTGATTTTTAGGCTTTTTAATCGAAGTGAACTTTCTTTAACTCTAAAACCTAAATTGATAGCACTGGCCCTAATTCGTAATAGTTTTGTAGACGGCGTATTTGTAAATGTAATTCCAAATTCATTAGTTTACACTATATTAAAACCTAGTCTGGGTAAGCTTACTTTTGCAAAGTCAGAGTTCTGTTGAAGTGGTTGTACCTGTATATGAACTACAAAATATATTCATACAAGATTCCTAGATGGTTCAAACTTACTTGACCCGCTATCTAAAAATGTGTCACGTAAATGGTGACATATCTAAAACATTACATAAATATGCAACTACATGTACATGAAACCGAGTACAATGGATGTATGATAAACATTGTAAAATTATATCATTCGTAGTCCAAGGTCAGTCGTGTACCCCTTCTTCATTACCATATTATGATTTTTTATCCATTGACTTAGTTCTTAATGCAGTTGTGTATTGTCAAAGCTGCATTCGTGTGCAGATTTATCAAGTTGAGAAGCAAAACCGCAAAGTACAAGGTCACGAATATGTACTGTTATGGAAAGCCATGGCTGTCTGATATTGTTCTTTTTCAATTTATGTAACCATTTTGATAATATATAAGTTCACTTCGACTATAAATGAATTGGAAACACCTTCTTATTTAACCGGAATCCATTATAGTAAACAACAGTTACAATATATCAAACCATGCCGTCAGTGTATGAAACCGAGTTAGCAATATATAAGTTGATTTTCACAATATATGATTCCAATTCTTCAATATATGGTACTAAAGTAGCCATGTATGGAACCAGATGTCCTTATATGAAACCGAATTATCAATACATTAATTCATTTTTCAATATATGAAACCAATGTATCAATGTATGGAACCAAAGTAGCAATATATGAGTTGGTTATTACATTATATGATACCAATTCTTCAATATATGGTACCAAAATAGCCATGTATGGAACCAGATGTCCTGATATGAAACCGAATTATCAATATATTAATTCATTTTTCAATATATGAAACCATTTTATCAATGTATGGAACCAAAGTAGCAATATATGAGTTGGTTATTCCATTATATGATACCAATTCTTCAATATATGGTACCAAAATAGCCATATATGGAACCAGATTTCCTGATATGAAACCGAATTATCAATATATTAATTCATTTTTCAATATATGAAACCATTTTATCAATGTATGGAACCAAAGTAGCAATATATGAGTTGGTTATTACATTATATGATACCAATTCTTCAATATATGGTACCAAAATAGCCATGTATGGAACCAGATGTCCTTATATGAAACCGAATTATCAATATATTAATTCATTTTTCAATATATGAAACCAATTTATCAATGTTTGGAACCAAAGTAGCAATTATATATGAGTTGGTTATTACATTATATGATACCAATTCATCAATATATGGTACCAAAATAGCCATGTATGGAACCAGATGTCCTGATATGAAACCGAATTATCAATATATTACGTCACTTTTACAATATATGAAAGTATGGAACCAAAATATCAATATATAAGTTGAGATAGCAATGGTTATTATATGGAACCAAAATAGCCTATTTTCAAGTCAACAAGTCAAAGGCCGAGGTCACTGGGTTCTGTTATTACAATGCATACACTTTTTCATGAAATCAGTTGTTATTTGACAAGTTATTTTTAAACTTTATGAGTAGATTAACCTTGATGTGTCCTTCTGGCCATGGCCATTTGATCAAAGGTAAAGGTCGAGATGAACTTATTTTTTTAAATATGTTTTTGTTAATGGTCAGTACGACTCATGACATAAACTAGTACATATATAACGATAAGTTTTGCCTGCCCAGACCACTTTAAGTGAATGTGACGTTAAATTTAAATATTTCCTTATTTAGAAAATGTGCAGTATGCAATCAGTGAATCACGCTGGTCGTTAAGGAATATTGGCGCGAAGCTGTAATACCGGTGCAAGGATAGAATACAGCCTTGAAACAAACATACATACATTGATGAACTGGTTTCATATATTGTAAAATTGATTTAATATATTATCAATATGAGTCAACATAATGGGTTTGCGACCAGCATGGATCCAGACCAGCCTGCGCATCTGCGCAGTCTGATCAGGATCCATGCTGTTCGCTTACAAACCCTATAGCAAGTAGAGAAACTGATAGCGAACAGCATGGATCCTGATCAGACTGCGCGGATGCGCAGGCTGGTCTGGATCCATGCTGGTCGCAAACCCATTATGTTGGTTTTGTAGTGACACGGCTCAATTATTGATAATTCGGTTTCATATAAGGACATCTGGTTCCATACATTGCTACTTTGGTACCATATATTGAAGACCTGGTATCATATAATGTGATAATCAACTTATATACATGTATTGATACTTTGGTTCAATACATGGATGAAATGGTTTCATATATTGTAAAAATGAATTAATATATTGATAATTCGGTGTCATATAAGGACACCTGGTTCCATACATTGCTACTTTGGTTCCATATATTGAATAATTGGTATCATACATTGTGATTATCAACTTATTTATTGATACTTCGGCTTCATACATTGATAAAATGGTTTCATATATTGTACAAATGAATAAATATATATATAATATGGTTTCATATAAGGATATCTGGCTCCATACATGGCTACTTTGGTACAATATATTGAAGAATTGGAATCAAATATTGAGAATATCAACTTATATATTGCTAACTTGGTTTCATACACTGACGGTATGGTTTCAATATTATATTGTAACTGTGGATTAATATAATGGATTCCGGTTAAATAAGAAGGTGTTTTCAAGTCATATAGAGTCGAAGTGAACTTATATATTATCCAAATGGTTAAATAAATTGAAAAAGAACAATATCAGACAGCCATGGCTTTCCATATACTGTAGGCCTAATGGGGGTCAATCCGCCTTTTCAGGCACTGAGAGTACCGTTACTGTCCGGACACACACAAGCACGAAAATTCGAGCACCAGTCTTTATGGACACAAAATTAATATTCTTACAACAAATGAGGTTTCAAGTAGAAAGTGATTTAAAGCTGTTCTGTTTATCTAGGTCAATAAATCGTATCTTCCCATACAGCCTGCCTATCCATTGTTTGAATAGAACACTACACGGCAGGCTTTTCTATACGCATGCGCCAACTTTTGATCGACGTCATTACATAACTTTTAAACAAATAATGGGAGTGAAATTCAAGTATACTTTGAACAGAAAATGAAGATTTATTCAGATAATTATTGTAGAATATGAAGTACAAATGATATCATCTAATAATAAAAGAAAGAATATCCGTCGGCAATTTCCTGAATTTATTGGTTCATGTAAATAGAAAGGAGAATAAAAGCACACTAAAATACTCGGTGTTGATTTGATATCTCACTCACTTTACAGCTACATGTACAGTACATAAATATAAATAATACTTTCAGTGTACTATATGGAAAGAGAGCTGTTGTATTAAATGACAATGATCTAATTTGTAAACGTTTACCTGTTTACCATCTAAAATGGTAAA